TTCCTGAAGCCTATTGATCGCCTATGCAGTGAACAAGAGATTCGCGAATGGTTCCGGTTTGCAATCCAGAAGCCGCCATTACTGCAACAGATGTACAGATAGGCAATTTCAAATAGATATTGCGTTTCACTGAAAAAAATGGTATTCGCGAACTCAATATTGCAACTATATTAATTAGATAAAGTAAAGTTGATGCAAACAACATTCTTCGTAAGGCGTTCATGTAATTGACCCTACGAATATTTACCGTTTCTTAACACTCATTTTTTAGTGGATATTTATGTTTATTTTCCACAATCAAAGGTTCCCTGCCCGCACGTAGCGCTCCTGTGGCCCACAAGCGAAAGAGAGTTTGCTTCAAATCTCCCATCGCCTCCTACTTACCTTCCAGAATGTGCTACAAATCACTTGCCCAGGCAACAGTGTGAGAGTTAATATTCGGTCGCGTCAACTATAGGGGTTATTTGACTATTCAGTGTAGTAGTGTTGTATCTCGGGAGGTGTAGGTGTGCCTTTCTTGTTAGATGGTGACATCGACGTTGACGTACACCGTAAAGATGAGAGAGAGATTCAAAGTATTCTTTTTTTGCGGTATTTCCCACTCCAGGTTTGTCCTGGTATGGGCACCAACCGAATCGGTCGAATTATTGTCCTCCGATTACTCTATCGACTAGTACGATAATACAGTGCATGTGTGTGTAAGGAGAGTGATAGTGACAGAGATGGGGAAGATGAGATTGCTAAAAGTCCATTCGCAGTTTGTTAGGGTACCGCTCATTCTGTGGGATTATATTTGGTCTAAGATTCCACGCAGAAGTACCAAATCGTACTGATCCTTAAGAAGCTCTTCTTCTTACGGTCTGTGAATTGTACCATTAATTCGACCTATTGTGAAATATTTTCCTTTATCACGAAAAGCTTTCAAGAATCTCTTTAATAAATATGCTGCATAAATTGCAAACATTAAATTCGCCGAATTCAGTAGTGTTCAATGTGAATTTCGGATGATTTGTTGCAAAGGGTGAGTCAGAATGGGTTTTAAAAATGCCTACCGTGAAACACGGTTACCCGGCACCATGCGGCCATTTTGTAGTAAAAAAGAAACTCAGGGAAAATAATATGGTCGTCATGCTGAGAGAAATTTTGTTGTTTATAGAACTTATATTTCTAAAATTATTTCATATTGTTTTTTACCAAAAAATCGGCAATTCGTTTCGTCAGTTTGAGTCTTTTTGCTAATGCAGTTAAAAGTTGTTAACGGTACTCTGGCATTTGACTCGCAAAATAAACATTAAGCAAAAATTACCAGCCAATATATATCGCAATTTATTCCAAGAATGGTCTTTCATTCTGCGAGAAATTCATTTTTAAGCAACTGAAAATGATATAAAGTGAAAGTATTGAAAACATTTGTCGTAGACGCTAAAGCAAGGAGAACGGTGAGGTCCGCCAATAGAAATCTTGAATTTCAATGCCGGAGCATGCGCAGTACAATTATTTCCAGAACTGTCTCAGCTGTAGTACTCACCTGGTAAGTCGTAAAAAAATAACCAGAATTACGGAGAGATGTCGATGAAAATTTTAACGTCCATCTCACTTGAAGAAAATGTACCATCAAATGTTCCTAGTGATATTGTGTCATATCTGCAGAATTAAGTTCCTCTTGCGTGATTTACAGCAAATGGGAGACAAGCAATAAACATTAACGCTAACACTTTCATTGTTCATCAAACATATATCGAATATTGCTGTATTTAATATGCACCTTTCTCATTTTAATTTTCTAAAAGTTCCACCGAAATAAAATTTGCTTATTAATATGCTTATACACTATCCATTAAGAAATCATTTACTTGGAAACCATCTCCTTGAAATAATTTCATTTTAAGACTACCTATATAATATATTACTGTCAATTCTTTATTTCTGAGAAGTCGATTGTAAAATTGATTTATTGTTACATTCAGCGAGAGTGTTTGTCTCTTGAAGGAACAATCGATCTCGCTTTATTACCTCAAAAATACTATGTTTTTGTCGTAAACTTTGTTGAAACTATAGAAGTGGCGTATTTCTTCTAAATTTTACATGAGGTATAAGTTTGAAAGTTATTAGACCTTCAAAATCAACAACTTTGTAGATACAATTTCACTTCAAAAGAAATTGATTTTCCACAATTTCTGTGAGTAATGTTGCAAACAGTTTTTCAAAATAATACTAGCAATTGGAAAATGTTGTCCAAACTATGTTTAATAACACAGGTCAACATGCATTTGGAAACATTCGTATAAATTAGTTAAATATTACATTTTATGCCCTGAAATCAGATGTACAAACTATGTAATCAAAAGTATAGAAGCACGAGTCTAAAAATGACTTAACAGTTCGTGGCGCCCTCCATCGATAATGCTGGAATTCAATAGGGTGTTAGCTTTGATGGCAGCTTCCACTCTCGCAGGCATACTGTCCATCAGGTGCTACGTTTCTTATGGAATGGCAGCCCATTTTTCATGGAGTGCTGCACTGAGGAGGTTTATCGATGTAGGTCAGTGAGGCCTGGACGAAGTTGGCTTTCCAAAACATCCCAAAAAGGTTTTATAGGATTCAAGCCAGAACTCTGTGCAGGCCAGTTCGTTGCAAGGATGTTCTTGTCGTGTAATCAAAAAGTGTGTAATAAAATTTTGTGAAGAATACTATACTTTCCATTTAAAACGAAAAACCTGAATATCGGCCGTAGCTTTACAGATATAACAGAGTCCACAATGATATATGATCTTCGTAATGGAAATGATTGACAATAAAAGGCTTCCTTAAGTCGATAGCACTCTGTATATAGGCGTTTTCCTTGAACTCTCAACCGCATGAGCAATTATCATCTGATCATTGCAATTACAGCGCAATTACTTTAATCGGGTTGATATCAATTAATTTAATTTTTATTTTGTGTGCCTAAAGAAGAATAAATCGTGTGTATAGAAACCTCAGCTGTTATGAATAAAAGTAGGAAAATCAAATCGTGATGGATTTGAAGTGAAGAGAATGTATATAATAAGTTTACATTTGAAGAATGCTTTCCCGCTAAGAAATTTTACAAATGGGCGGAGGGTGATGTGACACCGTGCCCAAGTCTGGGAAGCTTTCATTAACATTTACATCGGGTCGGATGTTTGGAAGGAAGGTTGTTCTACCCGCACGCACAAGCGGCCTTATCAGTAGTGTCTGTTGCGAGGTGGAGGGGCGCTAGCCGCAGGTGTGAGGCAGACAGATGAACGCAGAGAGGCGAGAAGTAAGTACATGTCATGTGACCAGAGGTTGGCGGTGCGGCATGACGTGTGTGACTGTATTGTGAGAATTCTGGAAAAAACGGAGAATGGAATTGATGCTGATGGTTGACAGTTTGCTGGAATAGCGAAATATCGAGTCAAGTTAGCGATGGTGAGGCAGAGAGGGCTATTCTCGGGTGCGGACTGCGCAGGGAGGCAGAACGGGACATACTGGTATTTCTCGCGCAACTTTTCTTCAACGATTGATTGAAGAAATGCGGGTAGAGTGGGGGTATTAGTTACGTAAACAGCCACTAGTTTTTATGAAGCAATACCAATCTCTGGAGAATCAGTCACGCCTTCGTAACGTGCTCAATAATTTGTGTTCTAACTTTATCAGGAGTTCGAGGTGTCTCCTGTGAGAGATCCGTACTTGCTTCGGTCATTTGTTTAGATTTTTGGAGAAAATAACCGATAGAAGTTATCTTCTTCAAAAGAAAATTGTTTCTACTTCGCGCCAGTGAAGATGTGTTTGGAATGTTGTCATCAGTGCTCGCTGCGAGCTTTTGCCTTCATCTCTTTATTGTGCCAGAGAGGGGGAAGCAAAGTCATCGTTCAAGAAAAGTTGCGCGAGTAATAGCAGCGAAGGACAAGCGCTAGACAACAAGCGACAAGGTCTCGGTTGTTTCCAGTGGTGAAGGAGATCGACAGCCATCGTGTCAAAAGATAAGTACGAGGTTCTTTATTATTACGTTCCCAGAAGTGTTGGGTGGACATTCGTACATTGTCTAAAAAATGGTACATTATTATAACATTAGGCAGTATAATAACGATTGCAGGGACGAATTCAAAGTTCATTTTATACAGCTTTTGCAAAAATATAATTAATCTTTGCATACTATACTAGTTATCAGCAACGAATATTCTTAGCTTTATTCAATTTCCACGGTACATTTCGTATATCATTGTCAATAATCCGTCACCTTATAAAAGCATTTTTATTTAAAATATAAAAACAACGCTTCTGAATATATGCAGAGAAATGTGGACTAAACGTAATATTAGAATAGAATTGTATTTGTTGTTTAAACAACAACAAAAAAAGTCAAAATGATAAAATGTATCTTTTAGAGTGCAAAGTATCAAATATAGTTACATTTTTTCATACATGGCACATAAAAGCACCATTAAAATACCTGTTGAGAACTGTCTTTTCTTATTTAGGGAAGTGTGCTTTTGTAGCAAAATATAGTATGAAGTTTTTCCGTTTCGCAATTTGGTTAAAATGTATTTTATTTCAAACTAAATAGTAAAAAATGTTGCGTTGGGTAATAAGTAAATAAAAAGACAACGTGCTGTGGAACAAACATTTATTATTAATAATTTGCATTGTTACAAAATTATTTTCCTTCGTTTTTCTGTCAAACAACTTCTGCAGAAACGTCGGTTCAAATTTTAAGAGCAATATTGCCTTTAATGACCATGAGTAAACAGTTAGAAGTAACTTAAAAGGTAATGTAAAAGGTAAAAGGTAACTTAATTGGATCAATCAACCCTTACCAACGTTAACAATCTCCACTATACTCGTAAACTCTTCTCTGTGGCTCTGCTCTTCTTAATGTCTCCGTTCTTAATGATTCTTTAAAATGAAAAATGTTAACTTTTTACCTCCAGATCTGTTTTCTTCGCGATTCCATTATGACAATATATATGCTCTTCTAACTCAATTAGGCGACCAGAACCATCATGATTGAATCACAATCCGAGTTCACGACCATTTGTCCCCATTAACAAAATAGGTTAGGACGATTAACACATCAACAAAATTCGTCTAGATCCTTTTATATGTCCCACTATAACGGTTATTCCAACGGCCACCTTTGAAGTCCCCACGATAGCCCGAATTCTTGCTGAAACGATTTCTGCCTCCTGTTGTTTTTCTTTGCAACTCCTGAGCTAAAACATTGTAAAGTACTTTAGTGAGAAGTGTCTTATCCACATCTGGCTCAGCATCGGCTTGATCTTCATGGTCTACTTCAGGATTCTCTTCGTCGCCACTTGGTGCTGCGTTGCTACTCGTACCTACGTACTCTTCTTCATCATCAGTTTGGTTGTTTTTGTCCCCTGCGTCTTCGCTGCCGGAAGGAGGCTTTTGCAAAGATTGAATAAAATTACACAACAAATCCATCACAGTTCCTGGCGCGAATTCACCGCCGTCGCAGTCAATAGGGGTTTTTTCATTGATTCCGGTGGGCGGTCCAGGAGCCGCCATTACTGCAACAAATATACAGATATGCAATTTCAAATGTATCTATCGTTTAATTGGAAAAAAATACCATTAGCGAACGCAGTAATGTGTTAGATACTGTAATGTTGTTGCAAAATACATTCTTCTAAAGGCTTTTATGACACAACGTATATTTCTTAACGCTCATCTTTTAGTGTGGATATTTTTGTTTATTTTCGGCAATCAAAGGTTCCCTGTCCGCCAATAGCGCTGCTGTGGCCCATAAGCCAATGAGTGTTTGCTTCGAATCTCCCAAACTCCTCCTACGTGCTTTGCAGAAAGTGCTGCAAATCACTTGCACGGGCAACTGCGAGTTAATATTCGGTCGCGTCAACTATAGGGGTTATTTGACTATTCGCTGTAGCAATGTTGTATCTCGGGAGGTGTTGGTATGCCTTTCCTGTTAGATGGTGAAATCGGCGACGGTATACACTACAGATTCAAGGTATTATTTTTCGCGGTATCTCCCACTGCAGGTGGAACCCGGTATGGGCCCCAACCAAATCGGTACGAATAATCATCCTCTGATGACTCTATCGACTAGTACGATAGTACAGTGCGTGTGTGTGTGTCTGTTTGTGTGAGTGAGAAAGGGCAGATATTGAGAAGGGAAGATAGCGAATTTATTTCGAAACGTTTGTTAAGGTACCGCTGCGTCAAATGTGTAAAATTGGTCGGAGATACCACGCTCCAAGATCCAAGCAGAAGAGCAATACAATATCCGGTCGGTACAATTCTCCTTCTTAGGGTAAGTGAATTGCTCCATTCATTCGACCAACTATCATATATTCACTGTCATTATGACGAGCTTCCAAGAATCTCCTGATTGAGAGGCTGCAGAAATAACAGTGTTGTGAACACTTAGACGCCGGCCTTATCTTTGCATTCAATGTGAATTACGCCTGATTTGTTGCAAAGGACGAGTCAGAATAGGTTTTAGAGAAATCTCCATTGTAACAGGTCTTACCCCAATGCGGCCTCTCGAGTCAGTTTTTATAGTGTAGGAAAGAAGCGACGGGAAAATAATATGGTCGACGCGAGGAGAGTATTTTTGTTTTTTACGGAAGTTGTCTTTCTGAAATCTTTCGTGTTCATGTGTTTAGCAAAAACTCGGCAATTAGGTACGTTAAATTAATTCCCTTTGCTCATACAATTAAAAGTTGACAACGAGACTCCGGCCATAGGCTCGCGTTATAAAGATTAATAAAAAAATATTGTAAATTTCTTCACCTTAATAAATCAGACTATGCATTTTTATAACAATATTTTTCATGTTATTTATTTAACGTTTCGATCCTATTTGAGTTTTTTTCAAATACCCAGTGTCCAAGTTAGTTGACATCATAACTAAATTGTAAGCATTTTGATAAAAAAAATTGCCATTTACATAAAAATGATCAAGTCGTCAGCTTCATCCGGTCAACTGGTATGCTTTTTGAAAAAGACCTCAAATAGGGTCAAAACGTTAAATATATAACATGAAATAAATTGTTATAAAACTCGTAGTCTGTTTATTTTATTGTAAGATCCTGGACCTTAATTAAACATTATAACGGACGTTAAAACATTCATTATAATTACGAACATTTGCCAGCCAATGCGTAGTACTATTGCAATTTAATCCAAGAATGGAATTCATTTTTATGCATCTCTACTTAATTCAATAGAGCAGTTCCTCAATATTTTTATTTACTTCATAACATTAGCTGTCTTTTCAATAACATAATTGTCGCCTAGACCAGAGTAACGTACTGGTCAGGCGAGGAAAATCGGTGATTAGCATCTGTTAAAAAAGAAGTCTTTAAAAACGGAAAATGCAATGTCTTAATTTGTAATTATTGTGTTCAACTAGATATTACATACTTTAAAAAATTGAGTTTTTGAATGTCATGCAAACGAAAATATTCTTAAACTATGAACTACGCCCTTGTTTTTGCTTCGCTAAGAAGTATAACTTCACAAGAAAGGAAATATCAGAAATGCATTAATACTGCCATCTAGTGATAAAAATTCCAAACGCTAACTACAATAAGTTACACTCAGTGGTCAACCAAGGACGACACTTCATGCTAGGAAAGCGGGAAACGCATATTAAGACTGTAGATGGACCTTCAACAAGGCCACAGCCTATCCATCAGAATGATACACGTGACCTCTCCTGGCGAGAACAATCAGTTTTAATTTGGTACATACGGCAGTCTAAGAAATTCATGCTATATTTATATTGTAGTTTTCGTAATTCCCATGTACATTGTTAATTAGTGTCGAAATTGTGTTTGGTGGAGGTGACGAAAATGATATAAAGGGAAAATCTTGAAAACATGGTCGTAGACAATAAAGCAACGAGAACAACAGCGCCTACCAATAGAAATATCTATTTGTAATGCCGGCGCATGCGGAGTAGAATTCTTTCCAGAATCATCACCCCTGTAAAACTTACCTCGTGGGAAGTCGTCTATACCACATAGAAAGAGAGCCAGAGTTACGGAGAGATGTCCAAGAAACGTTTTAACGTCCATCTTGCTAGAAGAAAATGTTCCATCAAATGGTTCTTAGTGATAGTGTGTCACATCTGCTGAATTTAGTTCCTCTTGAGTGATTTATAGCCAATGGGGGACAAGCAATAAACATTAACGCTTTTTCTTTGTTCATCGAACAGTTATCGAAAATAACTTTATTTAATAGGTACTGTTTTCATCAATAAATATTTGAAATGTGAAAAAGTAATAATATTAACAAAGACACCCTTTCATTTTTGTAGAAGATAAATTGACAGTAAAATTCTCTTTCTTAAGATGTTTAGTTTTTCTCTCATTTAAGAAATCTTTTGTTTGAAAGTCATGTCTTTGAAGTATTTAAGAAAACGTATCTAATATGCGAGTGTAGTTTCTTTATTTAAGAGAAATCGATTGTAAAATTTCGGAACAACAAGCGTCTATGTGTATCACTTGAGAGAACAATCGATCATGAGTTTATTATCTCAAAAATAATTTGGTTTCCTTCTTATAAATGTGTTGATATAATAAAGATAACGTATTAACGCCGATTTTTTTTTTAAAACAATTGTGTTTGAAAGCTTTTTCACTCTTATGTGTAACAACAACTTTGAAGATATGATTTTGCTTCAAATGATGTTCGTTCTTCATGATAAGCTCTTTAAGAACTGTCATGAAATTTTTTTTAAAAAAATACTACTAATTTTCTCAAATATATTTAATAACACGGGTGAACATTTGTTCGCTAACATTCATATAAATTGAGGTCCTTTATCCATTTTAAGCGCTAGCACCAGATATGTATGTGAAAAAATTTACCAACGTCCCATTATTTTTAATTTGTCTGTAACTGGTACGAAAAAAGTGAATATCATAGGCTTTTTTTAGTTTTTAATTTGAAAACTCTACAAATGACTAAACATGCCGTTACCGACCGTTTTGGTCTTGAAACTGTTCGCGTTTCTTTCGTTGTTCGTTATTTGTTCTTTACATGGCGTTGATTAAGAGTTTAAAATGGAGAAATTATGTCATCGTGCGTGCGTACATTCTCCTTAGAAGTTCTATGTGTATGGACCATTTATTGTCAAGTCACAGCGCCGTTTAATAACTAAATCACTCAAAACGGTGTATAATATTAATAATAATAATAATAATAATAATAATAATAATAAGGATAGCCCGGAAATTCATAGGAAATGATGTACTATGAATTCTTATAAGAACAGATGTATTGTGCTTTGATTTTATAAATCTGTACAATAATCTATTTAAATGTACTAATGAAATGAGAAAATAAAAGAAATACTAATACTAACAATAATACTAATAATTATTCGTATTACGTATTTAGTACGTTTAAAAACAAACACCGCATTTACGGGACGTACCTACGTACGTAATAAAAACATACACAAGATTTATGGGACTACCTTATCAGCTGACCCACTCGAAATCATCATTCAATGAAATTCACGAGATCTGGGGCCAGATAAAAAACGGGACATCCATTTTGAGAAGATACTGTGAACGGCACAGGGAAATGTTCTTTCGGGAAATGGCTCAATATAAAATTATTTCTTTATTCCGCACCTTCAAATGTGTTCAGTACAGGTCTATCTACTTCCATATTATCCACTTGCAATGCATTTCATAGTTCTAAGTTAGAATAACTCAAGAATTGACAAGTTACCGCTACACCAATTTCAAAAAGTTAGACTTCTTTTTCAATGATTCATTTTCTTGGAGTGAGTACAATATTACCAAGACAACACTACTAGTAAACAAAACATCCGTGGGGGTAGGAGATACTATTTTGTAGTACTCCATAATGTCAGTTAGAAAATAATCAACCTCAACAATAATATCTACCATAATAGTTATCATCATATGTCTATCATAATAGTTATAACATTTATTACAACATCCCAAAGTTAACTTTTGAGGTGGCAAAATATGGCGGCCTCCTCATCTTTCCCAGCTCATTTCTCATGTTCTTCTGAAACGTTGCTCCTGTTGTGTTTAAGTGAGGTCGACGTCGCTTTGTAAGTAAGTAGTAGTTCTTAATTTTTATTTACGTTTATTATTATGATATACGCAATTTACGACCACCCTACACGTACATATAAACGTGGATAATTACGAGGGTTAGATTTCAGCGGATCTATTCCTTGATAAGAGAAGGATGTTACCTCTTGAATTATGTATTATTAGGTGGTAGGATGATGCGTAGGGGTTAAATGACTATAAAAAGTAGCAACACGCCTAAGCAGGACTCGAGCCAGCAACCGCCTGGCGCAGACGACCACTGAAACAACCGTCTGCGCAACGGGGCTGCATATAATAATAACAATAATACGAATAGTAATAATAATAATAGTATTAATGATGTTGATGATAATAATAGTAATAATAATGATATTGATGATAATAATAATTTTAATATATTTTAAAATATTAAGAATTATATTTTTTAATATTATTGCAATATAAATATTTATTATTATCAAATTTATTACATTAATATTAATAATAACATTAATATTTATTATTTATATTTACTTAGCCATTTTGATCTCTTTTTCCTTATTTACCTATACATCATGTTATTTTCTAATTTTTCCTTCTCTTTGTTATAGTCTCACGGAAAATGGTTTTCAATGGAAGAAAGTGTTTCTGAAACGTACGTTTCGGATCTGATATAACCTACTACTATTATTTGTGAGGTTGATTATTTCTAACTCTCGTTAGTACGAAATTAGAGGTGCTACTGAATGGCGTAGACTTTCTCGTATTAGTTTTCTATTTCCTTTGGTCTCGGTTACCATTTCGAACTTGCCGCGTATTCTAGCCTGCTGCCATCTATCGTGCCCAAAGAACATTTTTTGACATTCTCTTAATTTTTCGATTTCTTAATTGTAGAGCGAAAATATTATTTTAAGGTTATTAAAGAACGTAGTCGAAAATGGCAGTTTTCTTTGAAAAATTTTAAGGCTTTTTTTAAAAAACTGGCATTTAAGCGCTTCTGAAAATTAGAAATTTGATGTTCTTTTCCAGAGAAAATGTTTGAGTATTCAAAAAACGTCATTTGAAGTCATATTAAATACTTTAACTCACAAATATAACAGTATTTACAAATTAAAAACAAGCAAGAAATGAGCATATCAACGGCAAAAAATTGCAATTGTATAACTTTTGATGAAACAAAAATACACCAAAATGAACTAATCGCCATATTAAACAATGCAATTAGCACTATCCTTTCGAAATCTTTGAAGAAAAAATTCGGAGCCGTTGTTGCGAAAATTTTGAAAATGTCCGGAGAGCTTCATAGAAAGTACCCCGAAATTTTGAAGAATGTTATTGAATATCTCAAAGTTTCGACTTGAGCCAGATGGAAAGGGCTTACTTGAATTTGAAAAAAATCCTACTCATGGTTTAGGCACTAGTGGTTTTCACAGACACCAGACGGACGTTTCGAAAAAAAAATAGTATCAGTGGTATCAGAGGAGCCAAAAACTTGTATTTTCGTTAAAATCTCGAAATCGATTTTCAGCTGCATTACATAACTTTCCTTATACTACGTATATTACTCCGTATATATGTACGTATACGTGAAAGTAAATATTACAACCTCTGTGGACGATTTCTCGTGTTTGGCCTGAACACCCTCACTTTGCGCGTCTTCGCGTTGGACAGAGGGCGGCATCTTGACAGCGTCCTCAAGACCAGCCTCTGGGGAAACAGGAAATGCCATTACCGCTGAGGATTCCCCCCACCCTTCTCCTTCAGGCGTCTTCCTTTCCCGCCAACTGTCAACACTGGACACTGCCGCAGCAGTTTCTGACAACTTGTGAAGTCCTTTCCCCCCCTCTCTCTCTCTCTCACACACACACACACACACACACGCATACACACACAGTTTCTCCCCTGCCTCCCTCCCTCTCTTTCTCTCTCTCTCTCTCTCTCACACACACACAAACACATACACTTTCTCTTCTTCCTCTCTCTCTCTCTCTCTCTCTCTCTCTCTCTCTCTCTCTCTCCCTGTGCTGGGATTGCCGTCTTTCTCGAGCCTTCACGAAGGACTCCAGTTCCTATTCCACTTGCATGGAGGAAGGGGTGGAAGGGGCGCTCCCGATGAACCCACAGGACGCAAACACCAGGACAGTTTCCCCTGTCTGGTTGAGCGGTGCTAGCAAAGAAGCTCTTGAGCACTTGGTGAAGCAACATAGATCGAAGCCACGAGAAGTAATGAAACAAGTTTAATGCGAAAGTAAGAAGATTTAATGTGTTTGTTTTGGACCATTAATAATATGGAAGTATAAAGTGGGTATCCATGTTTAAACAATAAATATTTTGTCGTTGTTTTTCTTTCTTCTTGTTCTTCTTCTTCGAGTCGTGTTTCTTCTCCTCTTCTTATTCTTCTTTCTTCTCCTTTTCTTCCTATTACACTCTTCTTCCTCATCCTTTGTCTTTTTCCTCATCCTCCTTTTGTTCTTCTTCTTATAGCTCTTCTTTGTTCTCCTTTTCTTCTTCTTCTTCCTCATCTTTTTCTTCCGACTTTTCGTCTTCCCATTCTCATTCAGTTTCTTTATTTATGAATTTTCGTTCTTTTTTAAGTCATACGTTTTTGAAGGAAATGGTTATTAGTTGAGTAATTACACTAGGAGCAAAAAAGTTTTGATTTACAGCGCATACCTAATATTAATTTGAATAGAACACATGGTAAATTAATGTTAACATTATCAAGTTTAATGAATCTGGTTGATTTAGATTAATGTCGAACCATTGCTATAATTGCTGTTAATAACATATAATACTATGTATTAAGAACTTCTACGTAACCCACAGTCTTCAGTCATCCAATTTCTCCTCGAAGCTACCTAAAAGTTCGTCGACTCCGGAATACCAGCAAAAAGAAAAACTTCTTTGATCTTTCAGTTCATTAAGTTGCGTAGTAGGTAACTTGGATAGCCTGCAGCTACTGGTGCAAGGAACGAAAACACAAAGTCAGTGAAAGTGCATAACTTAATTATAATTTTATGAACTCCCTATTGAATGCAAGTTTCTTTTAGGATATCGTTTGAAGTCTACTACTTTTTATAATACCATGCCAACATTAAATTAAGAGAGGGAAGTAATGTTGTTCATAGCGAAATCCAATCAACTCACACTTAAAAGCCCCTATAACGAAAATTACTGTACTTTTACGAGGTATTACCGATAAAGAGAGAATAACAATAAAGAAGATAGAAGAGTAAATTATGACTTTTATTCAAAATCGTTATTGATTTAAACACGATCAAGCATTTACATAAATACTACCATATAGAATGATGTAGACAATAGTCTACTTAATACGAATTGTTTGTGTATGATTTCATATTGTAAGTGCGTTTTATATTTTGGTTTCCGCAAAACATCAATTTATTTTGTCCGAGTCGTAGAGAAGTTAGTATGTCGTAAGCTAAAGAAGACAAATGATCATCAAATAATCAAAGCGCACACTATAATCCTGAGGATCCTGTTATTTCAGACTCCACAAAGTCCTGTCCAGAATATCTTCCTGATTCAGTTTTGTCCAATCTTCCCGTTTTTATCCATCTGTCTGATAAGAAAAGTATATGTTTTAGTGTTGTTTCTCTCCCACTCTATTCACATGAACATATCACGTTACTGTTTGCCTTCAATGCGATGGAGAATACGTGAAAGCAATATGGAAAAACCATATGGTGATGAGTAATCAAGAGTACTTAAATGTATAATACACGATATTGTAGTTCATACTAGTAAAATAGTATTAAGACCAGTCTGAATTTAAAGAGTACTGAAATTAGCGAAGTCATTTTATAAATAAATATAAAACATTTCTCAACTCAAAAATAAAAAATTTCAAACATATGATTGGATGAAACAAAATTATTTTATTCGTGTTTATTGTGGAAGTTAACATGTCTCTCCTGGAAAGTAGTCAGGCTAAACAGAATTTTGTATACACAAAGAGAATCTGAAAGAAGTTCTCCGTTTCAGAGTGAATGTTCCTTCAAGCGAGACGTTTTGACACGCAAAATGAAGAGGGCGGTAGCAAGGAATTGTGTCTTCTTGAAACGGAAAATAACAGACTCCCCAGCTGTCAAGATTTCCCCTTAGACGAGCGTAGCTTCATCTTTTCTTACCCTCAACTGTTTTCCCTCGCTTATATCGCAAAACAGATACGTTTCCCTTCTATTAGACATTCCGAACAAAATTGAAGCGCTCAGGATAAGAACAGTAGATACCAATACACCTCTTATTTCAAGTTCACAGTATATTCTATATACCTACAATATGCTGTTTTTCGAAATCTCAAAGTTTTGACTCGAACCAGATAAACAGGGTTTCTTCAATTATGAAAAAAAATCGACCCATGGTTTAAGCGTTAATAGTATTCACAGACGCCAGACAGACAGACGGACGTCTTGAAAAAACAAAACAAAAAAAAACTACTTATTTCGGTATCAGCAGACCCCGAAACGTATATTTCTGTTGAAATCTCGAAATCGATTTTTATAACCATTACATAACTTTCCATATATTACGTCTACTACAATGTATACGGGAACGTACAAAAATATTTTCTTCTAAATTAATTTTGGTTGGTGTGACGTAGTGAAATAAGAAATAAATTTCAATAACAAAATAAAAGTAATATATTAAAGATTATGTAC